GGAAGCGCCCAGCTAAAAAAAATTATTTGTCCCAGACGAATTACTGTTTCATAAGATTTCTCGAAGAGAACTTTGATGAGAATTGGCATAGTGGAATTGGGAGTGAGCTTTTTCAATTCGGAGTGAGGTTTACGAATTCGGAGTGAGGTTTGCGAATTCGGAGTGAGCTTTTTCAATTTGGAGTCAGGTTTACGAATTCGGAGTGAGGTTTACGAATTCGGAGTGAGGTTTAAGAATTGAGAGTGAAGTTTAAGTATTCGGTGTGAGGTTTAGAATTGGGAGTGTCGTTTGGAATTTGGAGTGCACTTGTGGGCCACCGCACAATTCAACTTATCAACCTGTTTTCAACGTTGATCCAACGTGACTATGCCTGCTGGGAGGACAAGCTTGGATAAATAGAGGTGGCAAAAATACATTTATACTTCGAACTATTTTTCTATTTCTTATACTTGCATGTTTATATAGCAAAAATAAACTTCTTAAAACTTCTGACAATATCCCCATAATCAAAGCGTTCTTCACAAAAGAGTGCAATTTGCGATAACCTTGAATGGCCGACTTTTGAGATACATGTAGTAATTTTGAGGGGTAACATCCTCACTTACAAGCGGTACACGTATAGTGTAGCTGTCTTGTTAAATGGCTGACATATGCTCATCCCCAGAAATGCACTGCATGACGTCACGCTTAGCCCACTGCGCATGCGTGCACTTTTAATGAGTTGCAATTGCTAGATTGCCATAGGAAAATGAATGGGTTCGCGATTCGTGGGTTATTCGTGATAATTGACAAACTAACGGCCTGATGCCGATAGACAGCAACGATTTGCTATGCTTCAAGCAACTCCTGACCAAATATCGCTAGGGTTTTTTAAAAAATTCTGTTGTACACACGTACTAAGAAGTTTGCCCTGTATTGCCTAGCCTACCCTCAGCAAAACGCACATATTTTCAGAAATAGTGATTTTAGACGGTAGATTCACTCAGAAACAAAGGCAAACTAATTCGTTGCCGATAGCACCAGCAGATAGCAGCACCATACAGAGTCTGATTAAAAACTTTCATGGCAATTGAAGAACTTTTACCACTGTACAATGGAGTCCAAAAAAGCACTTGGCACTAATGTGAAACTGCCCAGTGCAAGGCCAAGGATTCAATCAGTATTTTCAATCATATTATCAGATTCTACATAAATTGACTGACAATATCACTACTCAGTATTTAACTAATCTCTTAATCCAAAATTCCTATCATCATTTAATAATAATGCAAAATTCTTCTTTCAGATTGCTATTTATTTTACATTTTAATGCTGCAACTGTTCCAAAATAATCTTGTAGTAAAGGAAAAATGCAAATAAGAAGTGGAAGACCAATTTTACCCACATTATTCAATTATTTGAATATAAAAAAAATAAGATCACGATTTTACAAATTAAAATAATCTTTCATTAACTCTTTCATGAATAACATATTAAACAAAATTAAAGTTATAAATAAGTGGTAATGGCTTATTCTGGAATATAAGACCTCTGCACATCATCAGTACCTGACTTGGTACAGTATAGTTACTACTTGGATACAGAGTTAGATTTAATAATGTAACAATAAGAACAATATATATCACAATAAACTCCTCTGCACATGTCAGACGCTTGTTACCATGAACTAACACTACTTGACAATGGGCTGAGCACTTATCACAGAGTCTGTGTGCGATGCCATTGTTGTGCTGTGATTGGCTAGTTGAGTCACGTGAAGCCCTACTGTAGCGCCCTCGCGTATCGCGTGAATGCTGCGCATTTCAGGCCATGATAGGATCGAAGTTGGTTTCAGTTTTTGCCAGAGGGATCCGGTTCAATATAAAATGGAGCTAAATTCAGGTATGGCAGTTCGTTTTTCAGTGTTTTTTGTATCATTATTACCCCACAATACCATTATTATGTTGTAATTGTATTCCTATGACAAATGGAGGCCATCTTAGATTTTCTCAAAATGATCAAATATGCCCATTTATAACTACCAGATAGGTAAAGGGGAGATCATGATATTCAAAACACTGAAGAACAAAATTAATTTGATAGTAGAGTAAGTATCTTTCTAGATGGCACTAGTTGAAACCTTTTGCACTACTACTAATATTCCTTTGGCATGTGGTGGCCATCTTGGACTTTCTCAAAATGCCCAGGAAAACACGTTAGTAACTCACTACATACATATTGAGTAATATTGATGTAGAAAACACTCAAAAACATGCTTGATAGTGGACATTGTACCAGTATCTTTCTAGCTGACAATATTAGTTGAAACCACGTGTACTAGTATTCCTATGGCAAATGGCGGCCATCTGGGAATTTATAATTATGCCCAAGAAAACATGTTAGTTGCTCACCACATGTGGATAATAAGGATGTGGAAAACACTCAGAAACAGACTCAATTTGATATTGGACAATGTATCTTTCTAGCTGGTATTAATTGAAACCGGAAAAACTGGAGTTTTTCAAAAAGTCATAGAAAACCCGTTTCTTCCCTGAAAGGTATGAATTATATGGGTAATAAGGATGTGGAAACACCGAAAAAAGAAATCTTATTTGACAAAAACCAATGTAAGTATGTATATATTTCTATAGAATTCCATACATTGGCGGTCATTTTGGATTTCTCGACCGAACAGTAAATTTTTCAGAGCACTACGGCTCTAATTCGATTTAAAATTTCAGAATTTTTGCAAAATTTGGTGCTTTTATCTGCCGTGTCATGATTTTTCGTTAAGTCACCAGTCTGCGGCAACTTCCATATGACATGTACTGCAGTCATTTGCACAATCATTCGTATTCCCCCGTATTTTACGAAAAAATTCAAAACCGATCAAATGAAGACATTTAATACATATGAGCGTCTCTTATATCTGGGATAGAAAGCAAAAGGAATACAATCAGTCCAGTCATCCAGATCTTGCAGTACTATCAATTTCTTTTGATCAAAGACGAAGTAAGAGCAGCCTTCAAACTATGTGTGTTAAATGTCTATAACCTAGATACTAACACCCGTATTGATACATCACGCCAACGATATTTACTAATTAGTTTGTTTGACGTGATATGAAATGAATCTTCAATTTGACGTTTGTTACACGTTTAGCCTCGGTCGCAAGAAGCATTGATTCAGTAAAATCCATGTGCCTATAAATATGATTGGAAAGGAACATGTTAGTGTAGCAGAAAAGGAATGCAAAGTTTAGAAGTACCGCCTCAAAAAGGCCGCAGAGCCAAAAATGGCAGCGACCGACTTAAAAAAAGCCTCGTTCACAACCGGCCACACGGGCTCACCCGGCCTGTTTGCGTCCAAATTTTGTGCAGAATCTCATGTGTCACGCAAGTCCTTGTGGAATTTTGAGTACACAAACAGCCCTTAAGCACGTATGGGGAATATTAAATATCTCAAAAAGCTCTTCAAACAATATGCGAACTGCAAGGCCACAAGTGTAATGTAAGGCTGACACTTGCACGACTTTTGGCCCCGATTTTTTCGTGGCAAGTCGTATCATTTTGGGGCACGAAGTGGGAGGCTCCCGCACCGACTAGTTCAAGCATAGTTCACGACGAGTTCACGACGAGCTAACGAATAGTTTAGGAATGCGTGTCCACATTGACACAAACTGGCACGACAAGTTCATGCATAGGTTGCGCATGGTTTACGCACTTTCCGCATTGGCACGACGAGTTTGCGCAATTCGGACGGTGTCGTGCCGACTTGGGCACGCAATATACGTGAGCTGTTCGTGAACTATTCGTGGCAGTTCGTAACAGTCGTGACATGGCGCACACTGCCACGCACTGGCACGCATCCTCCCGCATCATCCCGACGAGTTCACGACGAGTTCACGAACAGTTTGAGCATAGTTCACTACTCGGTCGCGAAATTTTGTCGTGGCCAAAATTTTGAACATTTCAAAATTCTCGTCCCGACATGGCACGCAGTCACGCCGGGTTTACGCACACTTCACATCAGTTTACGACTCGTTTGCGCACTGGCATGACTCGAATCGTGCCAATGCGTGCCACAGAATCGCAAGTGTCAGCCTTGCTTAACTTGCTCCCCTCGCACGGAGTTGGCAAAGAGTTCACAAGTGAGGCGTGCGATTTTTAATGTACCGTGGGAAGGAAAACCGTGATCTAGGACGCACGTCGCAAGCAATGAAGGAGCGAATGACCCTTGCGTGTTGATTACGACGCACTCCCTGAACAAAATGAAACTCGCGGCGGCCGTGGGAGTGCGTCTTACGTGCGTCACCCCACGCCAGGAGTTAAAAAGATGTGCTCACCGCCAATGATCGTCGATTATGCAACGTGTACAACAATTGCCAAAAAATTTTGAATGCTAATTTCCATTGCAACCTCTCCTCTGTTTCTACGAACTTCACGGCCTCCACTGCACCCAAAATTCGCAGGGGACGTCCGATCCTAAAATTTGCGCGTCCGGTTTTGACCAAGGCTTTTCAAACTTTTTTCTAAACAAGGGAAATTTCCACAAACACGTTACAACACATGTAGATACATGTCGACTGCAGCTTTGGTTGTGCAGGAAGCTATCGTCTATAATATTTTTCCACTGCATAATTTAGGTGGGGGGGGGGGCTAATTTCAGAGACTACTGGTAGATCTACGAACAGGGAACCAACATGAAACTGGTGCCTCTTCTTTAAAGCTAAGTACTATGTTTGCCACATTTAAGTTAATCATTCAAAGTCTAGTGAAAGCGGCAGATCAACGCTTAATATCGGTTAGCAGTTAATAATTTAAGATATACCATAAGGCATTGGGAAATCTCGTCGCTGTATGAAGATTCCAGTTTCTTAATAATATAAACGCTTAATGCCAGTAGCCGCAAGGCATAAATATTCAAGTCTGGCTATATAAACTAAAGACGTACGTTTTTCTTTATACCATAGCAAACCAGCAGCATACTGTAAATAATTGAGAACGATTTTCTTTTCATACACCATATTTTATTTAGATTTATAACTATCTTCACATCGTTATGCAGGTAGTTAATCCCAAACTACCTGGCGTAAACCAAGTCTATCCAAGTAGAAAAATACGCTTAGGTCAAGGTATTTCATTAATTGGTATCAAGAATACTAGTTAATAGGGGAATTCACTAATTTGGCACTTCCTTTTCTATTATCCTCCTGGTCCTTGTCAATTAAAAAAAAACTTAATACATGGTAAAAATATTACAAAATATCATTTCTCATCAAGTCTGTCACCAACTTATATGACATATATTTTCCCTTCTGAGAACAATGTCATAATATCATTTCTCTTACAGTAAAGAGATTGGACCAATAAACTGTAAGTCATTAAAATTTACATATTCAAAATATACATATGGAAATATAGTTCACATTTTGAGAAAAGGGACTTTGGGGGAAAAATAGCTTAATGGGTAAAATAGCTAAATGGGTTATTTTAAGTTATTTCATGACTGTAGATATACTTTCATTCAAATCCCGTTCTTAGAAGAGCAAATAATTCCTAATGAAAGATTAATCTGGACTAGAGATGATTTACTGCATAACAGCACCAACCCTACTGCAAGGGGTCATTAGAATAAAAGCTGAGACAGCAAACTTGTATTGAAGTATTGAATAACTGGACACTGTTTCTGGTTTTGGTCAAAAGATTTTTGATCCCTGCTGTCCAAAAATTTTTTGCATAGACTGCATTTAGAGGATTTCATTTCACTGATTACTTTCATAGTAATCATAACTTATGCAACTGTCAGCGTCATCTCTACTTCCGCCCCTCTCTCTCTTGCCCGCTCTTGTTCGATAACTGTTGACAGCCTCTCTTCTAAACTGAACCCCATTAAGTCTTTCCGCGTTATGATTCCCATGACATGGTTTTGTTCATCAATGACTGTCATGTGACGTAGACCCAAAGTTCGGAAAATGATGTATGTTCTGTTGAGGGAGAAACAGGCCCTGATGCTGACAGCTGATTGGTTAGTGTACGGGTGCTGGAATGAAAGGAAAAATATAATTGGTAGTGTATGGGTTCTGGATTGAAAGGAAAAATATTACTGGTTGGTGTTAACAATTTAAAACAGAAATATGGACGATGACTTGTTAGTGCTTAAATTTGTAGTTTTGCTTAACACAAAAGAAAGTTATGCAATCCCTGTTTTTATTTCTGACTGCATTCCTTGACTGCACGGTCAGTGCAGGAGTGATTTCAACATTAAAAAAAAAAGAAAAGAAAAGAAAAAGCGCACAACTGCTAGACTCAAACTGAAGTAGAGAGTGGCAGGGGTCTACTCACCAAGTTGACATATAACCTGGCATATCTGTCTTCATCTAGGTACTGTTGTAACCTCTCCTGAGTTCTGGCTGGGTCAGACAACTTGTCCAGTGTTAACTAGAAAATAAATAAATAAATAAATAAACAAATATATATATATATATATATATATATATATATATATATAACAAGTGTGAGTGTGGAACAAAGTGCTAAACAGTCTGGAGCATTTGTATACAATTAACATTTATAAATAAATAAACAAGAGACATGCAATAAAGAAAAAAAGAAAATAGTGCTTGTTTATAACAAGAAAAACAGACAACTTCAAACAAGGCAGCTGAAGCCTGCCAGATGGCCTTGAACAGTGTAGACATAGAGGACAGACAGAATACCACAGTTACTGAAATATACACATTTTGGTTCCTGACATTCAGCCCCTTACTTCTACTGAAAATGCAGGGCCAAAATAATTGAAAGAAATATTAAAATGAGAACAAGGCAGCAAAGCTGTCAAATTTACAGACAAACCAGAAAAATAGCAATAACAGGTGATGGTTTAATGTTCAGACATTGTGCTTGTACATAAAATTTCCTTCAACTTCAAGTGAATATACCTATGGACATTTAATCAACACAAAATCATCTGATCAAACTAACTGAGACTGAGTTGCCATAACTGTATTGTACTAGCTGGATTGATCTCAAAGAGGATTCACGCTAAGGCACAGTTATGTACTTAAAGTTACTAGGGGATGTCCCAGACAGTTAAAGTATTCTGAATGCAATTCAGCAAGAATTCATGAGGAGTTAGATCGGTCCAGCTAGTATGAGAGGGTAATGGGAACGCTCCGTTACTTCGGAAAAAAAATTGTTTTAAAACTTAAAACTTACGGCCTCGTAGTCTACACATGTAACTTCCTGCTCGACCACATCTTCGTCCTCGGGTGGCGGGTCAAACGCCTCCTCATGCATCAGAAGCACCGTCAGCTCTAACCTGGGATACGTAAAAAATACTTATAGGTAATTTTCTTAAATCTGATTGAAAGAGGAAAAGGAAAATCTTCATTGATATGCATCATCATGTTACAGTCCTGTATATTGTCTCACAAAACTTAGTAATACTTAGTTTTTCACAGATATGAGCTCTGTATATATATATATATATACTAAGCCCTCTCGTGCCTCACACCCAGACATATTATACCTTTCACAACATTAATATTACTATATGGAATCATTTTCCAAAAGAAAAAAGGCATTCATACTAGATGATAAAAATATTAAATGACATATTTTGCATTTTATTGAACGTACTGTATCCATAATTATTATTTTTATTGACAATACTCATGTAATTTTGTTCTTCTATCCAATACATTCAAATCTAGTGTTTTAATTCAATATTTTCATATTTTGTTTCTTTTTATTTAAAGCAATCATATTTACAGTTTTAAGAAGTAATAGTGAGAAATGTATATGGTGACTTTTTCAAAGACCTAATCCAAACTTCAAAACAATTGCCATAATAAATATACTATATATATATATATAACCCACCTTGTGATCAGCCCATGAAATACCAGCTCTCCATTTTTAGCCTTTTTTACGACGGGGAAGCCCCCATACGTCGTGTCCAGCAGATAACGTGCAATCTTCTGCACTGGCTCGTGGACGTGCAGCACTACGGGGTCAGGGGTCATCACGTCTTTGGCCCCATAGAGGTCAAGGTTAAGTCTGAAACATATAAATATGTCTGATTTTAATTTGTGGAAATCTGGGAACATGAGAGAGGTAAACAACATACAAATAGATAAATATATAAAAAAAAATTAGAACAACGCCCAGAGCGCACACCGCTGCAGCTATAATCTCACTATTAACCTTTGTACTTAATCTATATTTCCATTAATACTTAATGCGTTAAATTAATGAATGGGCCACCAACAAATTTAATGAATTTTAAGTCACCCCATTTCTGACTTATCCTGAAAGTTTTATCAAAAGTTATCCTTAACTTTCTAATTTAGGCCATTAACTGACAAACCAACAAAGACAAACATAAACTCTTCATCAGAGATGACACCATGCAATCACTCACACGTCTCTTCCTTCATGTACCACCACAGGCTCCGTGTTCAGGAACGGGATACATTTCAGCTCCAGGAGGGCGTGATACAGAGGGTGAGTCACGAAATCTCCCACCCACTTGGCCACCATGATGCCCACCATGATGGGAAGGAGAAACTGAATGTCATTGGTGATCTCCATCTGGAAGAAAGATTCAGACTCTTATATTTCTTGAGTTTTATTTAATTTTAATTCTTAAAGACACTCCTTTTCCTGGAAGCTAAGAATTTTTTTCTTTCACAGAATTATGATTCATTAACCTGAAAGAATTCCATTTATTTATTTATTTACATACATATTTATTTATATATTTAGTTATTCATTCATTCATATTTTTATTTAATATTTATTCTTTTTTAAAGAAAGGAGAGCCTTGGTGACCAAGTACACAAACAGACTACAACTATACAGTTTATCTAAAGTCACTGTTTTTTTCCTGTCTTGAAAATCATTATAGTATATGTGAACCTTAGCATTTTACTGAAAAGTGATAAGCTATGTAACTGGAATATATATATATATATATATATATATATATATATATATATATATATATGAACTTCCATTAGAGTGACTTCTTGTTATAAATACACAACCATTTTTTTCTTTTGAATCTGGCAGCTCAATTTTTTTTTTACTTGAGATTTAAAAAATTTTTTTCCTGTGCCATACAAGAAAAAGTAGGGTCATAGAATTTTCAGCATTTATTAAAAACATAACTTCCCTAAAATTTCCCAAATTACACTGCAATACCTTCAAAACTGTTGGTGTTATTGAACTTTGAAATTATTAACCCGATATGGTCACTATCTCACCATTATAACAGTCAAGGACATGGTCAGTCTGGAGACGCCTCCAAAGAAAGACGCCGCCCCAATCAGGGCGAAGGCCCCAGGGTCCATCCAGGACCAGTAGCCAGCATCTGAGGTGTGGACGCCAAATAAATCCACCATCCCACGCCCTACAATCCTACCATATAGACCTCCTATATACCTGAACGTAAATAAATAAATACATATACAAATACTATGTAGATAAGTCATCCAGCTGTATTTTACATTATTTAAGTTTTTCATATTTATTACTAGTCTGAATCAACTAATTAAAACTATTTAATTGTTAAAAAAAATAATAAATAAATTGACACAACCAATGCACCAGCATGAGCAGTTCGATAAGTATTTCTATGCAATAAAATGACACTGGACAAATTTTACAGTAACAATTAAATATATGAGATACAATACATAGCTTCTTTGCAAACAGGGAAACCTGAAACTTTAGTTGGGGCACAAATAATTTTGTCTGTTTGTTTGTTTGAATGTCTTGTAGTTAGAGCAGAGGGCCCACTAGTCCACCGAATAAAGAGGTCCCAGTCACCAGAATGCCATGATGAAGTAATACAGAGATACAGAAAAGTCTGCGCTGCCAGCAGTAACTTGGGGTGATTATAATTTTCTTAGATAAATGACTTTTACTCACAGCATAGGCACCACCAGACCACTAGATATGGAGGTCCCTGCGGCCCAGCACGCCATCAGGAAGTAGATAGGGAGCACCGTGAAGAGAGAGGCATAACCAAATTCCAGGTGTGTGTTCCTAGAAAATAAGTGATGGATCCCTCTCTCACCTGACACAAAGAGCAAGGTGGCAACTGGAAGAGAAGTAAATAAATAAATGAATAAATAAATAATAAATAATTAAAATTATTAATCAAATTTACTGTTAACCCTTTTTTCTGCTTTCAAAATAAAGACAATTACTATGAATAAATACATAGATGTCAGCAGAAAAGTAAGAATAAGCTAAACATGAAAAAAAATCCTTTTCTCATTTTCAAAAGACCTCATCCTCTTGCCTTTATATTTATATTAACTATGTATGAATACAACAGAAACATATCTTCGTCATGATATTCTCCTTTAAGTCTTAAATCCTTAAGAATTATACAAAATAAAAATTTCAAAAAACACATATATAATCAAGACAGCCTTAATAAAATCATTTAAAAATCTAACAAGTATAAAACATTTCCCCATACTTTCATTAAAAGACTTGTTGGTCCAAGTTGTATTTCCCTCTGTAAATGAAATTCCTTTAGGACAGTTGTACATCTGAAGGGGGTTACTAGCATCCATGTCAACACAGTAAGGCCTGCAAGATAAAAACACGAAAACAAGAGTTTCGAATTTCACAGATTATGAAAAGTTACAGATATAATACAAAATTTAGCAGAACCTAATGTGTTCAAATGTACTAAAAATATTTTGCACACCATGATTATCTGTTGTTTTTACTCAAATTTCATTTTGCATTCCCACTTTCCCAAAGCTTTAAATTTTCATCAAATACCTATTTACACATGTGATGAGTTGGCTATCATAAAATCCAAATATGATCTAGATTTATTTTTTCTTTTTACACAATAGTAAAAATCAGAACTAAGAATTAAGTCACACATACGGTATGCAAGCACACATGGGTACGGACGCAAGCCTGCCCTCTCTTACACTCACTGACACACACACACACACACA